GATTTTTCGGGATCAGCGCTGGAAGCAGGTGATGGAGCAGTCAGCGTTGGAGCAGTCGATGTTCGAGGAGAAAGCCTACAAGGAGACCGTGGATTTTTCCACTTGTCCTATAGACCCCTCACCGTTCCAGCTGGTCGAGAGTACCTCACTACTTAAGGTAAATTTTGTTAAATTTGATGTATACATGTGGCAGATGCTTCCGGAAAATAAATATTGAAGGGTAATATCTGAAGTGAAGGCTTAAAATGGTGCATTGCAAGTGTGCGGTCTTCTTTTCAAATTATCCTTCTGCATACTACACGATAATCCAACCACTAGGAGCTAATCATAATTGCACGTCTTCATCATCGATTCAACTGATACACTGCATGTGCAATAATGTCGCCACCCTCAGGTACACTCTCTGTTCTCGCTGCTTGGACAAAGCCACGCCTACGTCACGGTGCTCGGGCGACTTATTGGCGTAGTCGCGCTCAAGGAAGTAAGTCTTGCTGTATCACTCATGTCATATCTCTTTTCAAGCATAGAAAAGTTTGATAAATAAATGGGATTTATTTTTATTCAACTTTGATGTATCGACTAAAAATAGTTAAATGCAGAAACCCTTGTTTATTTTTAAGGTTTCTTTCATAATGTGATATAATATCATCTCTTATTAGAGGAGCAAAATTTTTGTTCTTCTCATTTAAACTTTGATTTTTATTATTTTTTTATTCAAAAGCGTTGTTGCGATTTTTGACTAGTAACTATCGCTGCTTGTTTGGTATGCTTATTAATGCTAATTCAAAATTCAGTTATGAACTGAGACTGAAAATAACGTTTATGTGGAATATTCTTTAATTATTTTTTACTAGCGATCAATTGAATGACTTTCAGAGTAATTTTCGCTATATGTGTAGCATGACCGATTCAGCACTGCACGAAGTGTGATCAGATAGGCGACAAAAAATATCATTATTATACCATTCTCTTTTGCGCCTTTTTTTGTATATTACATTTTCACTGTTCTGTTTTCAATTATTTGAAGTTAATGTATATATAATATTTCGTTATTTATTACATTGACTCCAGTTACGCGCAGCCATCGAAGCCATCAACAACGGCACCCCGCAGCCCAACGACGACGTCGGTCCCGACGAAGACGTCGACGCCTATGACGAAGAAAGCAACGTTGCGCTCTTGGCGCAGAATCTGAGGCTCGGGCAAACTGAGGGTTACCCCGAACATGACGCAAGGGATCGGCGGTAGTTGCGTTCGAAATTTGTATGAATTTTCAACAGATGCAGGATAGCAACGACCAAGATAGATATGAGCAGGGGATGGGGTCGTCGTTACTTGAAACACATCACAATAAAAGGGAGATCTGCGAAGTGGAATGCTTGTTTTAAAAAGATCCTCAGCAGAATTAATTTATAGATTTTCTCTGTTAATCGTTGAGAATGAACATATTTAAGCAGGATTTTTGACATCCATAGCAAGACTAGAATGTTAACGTTGATAATCATATTGCCGCAAATGAATTATATTATCATACATTAAAAATATTTGTTTACCATTTTCCATCAATTTGCATTAGCTAACTGCACAACAGTTGTTAGCTAATTCTTGGTCGGTGTTGTATTTGTGTAGGTAGATGACGGTGAAAAATTTCACTACAGCCTGAGCGAAGCTTAAATATAATATTCTTGTTAGACATACGAGAACCACTTACGAGAGAAAGAAAGGAAGGAAGAGACATACGAGAAAGGAAGATGTAATTAAATTAACAATTATTGTAGCAGGCTGTTTTCACAATTGCCCGGCAATGAGTAAAATTCTCAGCAGCAATGAGTAAAATTCTCAGCAGGTTATAAGTCCACAATGCTACAAAAACTGTTGAACTCACGCTCACGTGTTTTAAGCCTGTAACATAATCGAAATTAATTGAAACGTCTTTTTACAACACTTCTCTTTAATTTCACTTCTTCTTTGTCTGTCTGCTACAAATCTTATAATCGAAATTTAACACACTTCTACTTATCCTATCGATCAGAAATTTTGCACAATTGCGTAAAGTTGGAGACAATGCATGAATCAAATGACAAAATAAATAATTTTAAATTTTTTTTTCAATATTATAAAAAAAACTGAAAAAATAATTTTGTCTGCTACAAATCTTATAATCAATATTTAACACACTTCTAGCTGTCCAATCTATCTGAAATTTTGCAGACTTGCGTAAAGTCGGAGACAATGCATGAATCAATTGACAGAATAAATAATTTTGAAAATTTAATTTCTTTTATGTCTTAAAATAATTAAAAAATTAATTTTTTAAATATTAAAA